CGCCGCCAGCCGCAGTTCTGCTGCTGTAGGTCACCAGCTCAGCCTGGCACCACTTGCCCTTGCTTAATCCATGCTGGCTTTTCCCAGTCACCTGCTTCGCTTGGCTTGTGATTGTTTCCGGGAGGACTCGTTCCGTGACTTTCCCAGGGACTGAAGTAAGACTGCCTGCAGCTTCCTGGGTGCTCTTTTGGGCCCTCCTTGTAGAGGAGCGTGACAGTTGTGCTCTTCCAGTAATGAGGGATATTCCCAGCATCCATGGCTTTGCAGATGGGCGATGGCCTTGCAACAGCATCGGCCGCTTCTCTGACCGTCGATTTGTGCGGGTTGAACCTTTGGAAGAGGTGACAGCCCGCTGGGCGCTGTCCTGGCTACGTGTTCCTGGGAGCTGGGTCCGGCGGTGCAGGGAATGCCAGTGGGAAGGAAAGCATTGAGAAGCTTCCGTGCTTGTGGAAGGAGGGAGAGGGGAAGGGGAGACAGGTGGATCCCAGGCATCTTTGTCTTCCCTGACAGTACCTCTCGGAAGCCAGGTGTGTGCGTGGGAAGCAGCTGGCCGTGAGCATAACCTGTGCTCCAGATGGGCTGGACTCAATCATAAAGGTCTTTTTCCAACCAGGGCAATTCTGTGATCGCCAGGGCAGGGGTGTGAGGCACCAGGCCTGGGCAGCCTGTGCTCAGGGCGCTGCGGACCGTGCTGCCGTTTCCTCTGCAGTGCCCGAGGCGCCTCCCCTGCGGGTGAGCACCCAGTGGCCAGTGCCTGTGGCTGAAATGGAGCAGGAAGCTGGGGTGCTGGATGGCGGGGTTCCCTCTGTCATGCATCCACCGAGGGGAAAACTCATGCCTGCGGCAGAGGAGAGAAACCCTGTTCCTCCCCCCCCAGCCACCACGGAGAGGCTGGCGCGAGAGCCTGGTGCTCCCCGGGGCTGTCTTTCCCCACGGTGAGGTTTTCACTGTGCTGGCAGCGGGAGCAAGCGGGGCAAGGAGGGGCCACGGTGATGGATGGAGCCAGGCAGCGCCGCAGCCCCCACCCTGGGCTGCACAGGAGCAGCCTGGAGCCCCTCTGCTATGACGAAAGGCTGCGAGAACTGGGCTTCTTCAGCCTGGAGAAGAGGAGGCTCCGAGGAGACCTCATTGCAGCTTTCCAGTACCTGAAGGGGGCCTACAAGGGTACTGGGAGAGGACTTTTTACAAGGGCCTGTAGTGACAGGACAAGGGGTAATGGGTACAAATTGAAATCAGGGAGGTTTAGATTAGATATCAGGAAGAAATTCTTCACAGAGAGGGTGGTGAGGCACTGGAACAGGTTGCCCAGAGAAGCTGTGGATGCCCCATCCCTGGATGTCTTCAAGGCCAGGCTGGATGAGGCTTGGAGCAACCTGGTCTAGTGGAAGGTGTCCCTGCCCATGGCAGGGGGGTTGGAACTAGATGATCTTTAAGGTCCCTTCCAACCCAAACCAGTCTGTGATTCTATGATTCACAGGGGGATGTGGCGCTGCCGGCTCTGAGGGAAGGGGCCTGCTGGGTGCGGGGCAGGGTGCTGGGTGGGTTGACAGCAGCAGAGCCGTGGGTCCTGCTCAGACTGGTGACTCCCAGCGTTGCTTTGCTGCCTGCTGGGCTGTGCTGGCAGCTGCTGGACTTTCCATCCCGCCTACTCCGGCAACTGTGGCCTCAGCTGCCACTGGAGCAGTTACTGCCAGCGTGGAGCATCCAGTCCCCTGGCACACGGGAACAGCCTTTATCGTGGGCTTGGGATGTGACCCACTGTGTCCGGGGCGATTGTGGGTGGGGAGGCGGCAGGGAGAGGCCGGCTGGCCGGCCCAGCCTGCGGGCTCCTTTCGGCACACTTGGCTGCTCCGGAATTGGGGGTCGCCTGCCGAGTGCTTTGCCCAAGGTCCTGCAAAGGAAGCCCCAGGGACCCTTTTGTCATCTCGGGCCTAACGAGGGGCCCTGGTCTGCCTGTGGCAGGAGTGTGCGCGGCATCCCTGGGGGTGTTTCCTGCCGCACTGGTGGCCCTGGCTTGGCCCTTGAGGCAGAGCTGAAGCCGCTTCGCTCTGCTGGGTGCTACGCAGGGCTGGGGGTTGCCTGAGGGCAAAGGAAAGCAGTTCCTCACCGGAGCTCCCTGCATTTTCTCAAGAGCAGGGACAGCTTTCTAGCCAGACAGGAGCCTGGAAGCTGTGGGAGTGAGGGCAGGCAGCTGGGTGAGCCCTTCCAGCTGTTGGATGCCCCGGCACCTCTCGTCCCTGTCCCCTGGAGTGGCCGCGGGCAGTGAGACGGGGCTCAGCAGCCCCCTCGCTCGCTGTGCGAGTGGGGGGGGGG